CTTAATGAATGGGACTTCCGGAGGTCAAGAAAATGCAAACCCAGATGGTTTAGTATTCCCTCAAGCACAAGAAGGATCTGGTTTAGAAGGTTTTGGTTTTAATAATGGTAGCAACATTTGTAATATTATTCCACATCAGAGCCAGTCGGAAATGACAATACCTGCTCTAGTCTCAGCGTCTCCGGTGACCGGATCAGCCGTCAAGCAAACGGACGGTAGCTGCAATACAGCTCAACCGTCCACTGATCAGTCACCTAACTCCTCTACAATGTTTGAGAGCTGGGAGAAGCTCCTGGATGATGAAATAACTGGTTCTGACTGGAAGGAGATTCTCGAGTATGTTGTCTTCTAATTAACTTCGTCCTATTTCCTTTTTGTTTCAATAACCACAACATGAGGGAAAACAAATGAGAAAATGAGCAAAGGATTAGTTTAGTTTATACGATGATATAATAATATCTATAATAGGTAGTGACATGACTTAGCCACTTAGGTTCATTCTTAATTCTTAAAGGATAAGACTAAAGCATAGTTAATGTTTTGGCGTTTGTTCATATCAATTAAACATATGATACTAGGAGTCATTCCTTTGTTACAATCTGATGTTTCAATCTTGTTGAGGAAAAATAACAAGTGATAATTTTCCTGCAAGAAAAATCATGTCTAGATTTTATTATTCATAATCTTAAACACATTAAGCTGATAATATATCCTTGAGATTGTATCAAGCGGGGAGGACATATGACTTGTTTTTTGGAACATTGCAATTTGTCATTTTCGTTTGTTCTGTTTTCTAGACCTTGGCGCTTTTGCAGACAATTTGATTAGTTACGTTGTACTTTTCAGATTATCATCAACTTTGGCGTCGCCTGTCTCGTGGTAGAGATATTGAATGACTGCCTTTTCTGGGGATCATACCATGAAACACACACAAGATCTAATGCATAGAATTGTTTCATTCAAGCTATTTTTCCTTCCTTTTTCTCTTGGTTTTGATAATTTTTATTCGTTAAAATAATAGGAAGCTTATAATAAATTCGTATTTTAATTTCTGTACAAAACAGAAGATATCCATGTCGTTCATAAGACCGACTATTTCAGATTTCCTTCGATTTTATGTTGTTTCAAGAGACACACTTGTATCTAGTATAGGTTTGGTTATGTTTGTCTTTTTTCCATCTTTTGTGATGAATTCAGAATCCCAAGAATTTCTTCAGTTTCTGTTTAGGTTATTCTCGCGTATATGCCATTTCTGGTTCAACAAACATAGTCTAATTGAATATAATTAAAGAGACTGAGATATGGAAAGAGACAGAAATGTGTTACTGTCAAATCTGAATTTTAATGAAATAGAATATAATGTTCGCGTCCACTAGTTTAGTCAAGGAGAACAAAATCAGTTTATTTAGTTGCACGAGTATAATTCTTTTGGAAAAATTTCACTGTAGGACCGCAGAAGACAATTAATTTCAAAGAGCCTTCAAAACTTTTTGAAACTTCACTGCAGGACCAAAAGGGCAAACTGATATTAATTCCACAAAGAAAATGACGCTATTGCCCCTCATAATACTTATTGCAGGGTGACATGTAAATGGACTAATTTCAGTTGTAAATAAAGGTATATATGTTGCAAATTGACTAGTCCCACTTGCAAATGGGTTCTCTCACACTTATTTATTCACAGGAACCTTTTTCAGGTGAATGAGGTGATATGTAAATGGACTAATTCTAATTGTAAATAAATGTATGTATGTTGCAAATTGACTAATCCCACTTGCAAATGGGCGTTCCCACACTTGTTCACTTACGGAGACTTTTTTCAGGTGAAGGAAGTGACATGTAAATGGACTAATTCCAGTTATAAATAAATATATGTATGTTGCAAATTGTCTAGTCCCACTTGCAAATGGGCTGTTCCACGCTTGTTCACTCAGACACATTCTTCAGGTGAAGAAGGTAATATGTAAATGGACTAATTTTAATTGTAAATATATCTATGCATGTTGTAAATTATCTAACCTCACTTGCAAATGGGTTCTCCCATACTTGTTCACATGAGGGGCAATAGGGTCATTTTCTTTGTGGAATTAATATCAGTTTGCCCCCTTGATCCTGCAGTGAAATTTCAGAAAGTTTTGGAGACTCTTTGAAATTAATTCTGTACTGCAGTCCTTGAACGAAATTTTTCCAATTCTTTTTTCCCCCAAAATAATAGGGTGCACATACTAAAATGACTTTTTTAAATCAATAATCTAATCAAGGGTTTTTCTTTCGAGGCTTAGAATGCAAAAGGTTTTCATCTCTCTTAACAAGTATAATTTAATCAATAAGAATAATTTTCAATACAAATAATTAAAAAAAAAGTATGTTATAATATATATTTATTATAAGTAACTAAATTTTATAGAGTTGCTGAAATAGAATTTAGTGGCTTTGTTAAGATCATTTGGAATAAAGCATCCACTTCAAGTTGTTAAGGATTTGGGTGCATAGAGTTTGTTATATTCAAGTTTAAACTATCAAATTAACCTCAAGTGAATTTCCATGAAGGAAAACTATTCCTGCGATCCTATTTATATGCAAGACCCTTTTATAATGGTTTTTAATATAACACTCTTCTAAACAAGGACTTTTATAGTCCCACATGATGGTGTAACAATTAACAAATAACGATTATTAATAAAATAAACATTTTTAAAAACTAATACAAATAAATAAAGCGAGCATCCCAAAATAAATCATATCTATCAATTCTGATCATTATTATTTATAAGCCACTAACTTTCTACAAAAAATTATATGTTGATAGATTAATAAGATATCTATGAACTATTTGTAAAAATTCCATTCCAAAACGCCAAGCAAAGTTCCCTCAACTCACCCTTGTTTTCCTTTTTTTTTTCTCAAACCATAATCAAGGGTAATTTTAAAAAATCACAAATTTTAACATCAAATCAATTTTAACTAAATTATGGAAGGAGTATATTGTTTCCTTGTTATAATTATTTCAGTTTTATAGTTCTTATTGTTGAATATTTTTCTTTCTCACTAATTTTTTTGATGCTTTTTTAAAGGTGGCAATGCGGCTTATAGAAAGAACCAATCTGAATAAGGTAGAATAGAAGTACTCCGTTCCATTATAAATATAGGATTTTAATTATATACTCCTCCAGTCCTTAATATAAGATCCATTTAACTAATTTGATTAGATTAAGAAAGTTAGGTAAGTTAGTTAATTATAAGAAATGTGACACATTTTTCCTAAAATACTATAGTTATCTTTCTTAATACCTCTCTTCCTCGTCCTCTTGATTATGATTGAAGGAATGTCTATAGGGATAATTTAGAGAAAATTGATAAATATGAGAAATGGGTCTTATATTTAGGACCAAAACCAACTCAAGAATTGGGTCCTATATTAAGGACCGGAGGAGTAGTTAATTTGGTCCATAAAATCCCCACCTTTCCAACAAAAATTAGTCCAATAGAGATTCAATCCACACACTACCAACACAGGCATACAAAGCTTCTTGCTGACATGAATAATCATACTTCTGGAAACTTGTCCTCACTCAGAAAACCATTAAAAATTCCACTTCCCTCAACTTTTCTCGTAAGTAAAAAACAACCACATTAAATGCTCATGCATCCTGTGCAGAATGCATTTGCCGCTTATAACTAGGCCATTCTCAAAATATGAAGGTCCACAAAACCAACAAGGCAAAATCATTCTTAGTTACAAGCTTACAAATCATTCTGCATCTGGTGAGGCTAAATCCATTGTGATAATCTCCCCAAACAAAAAATCTTAATCAATAGATATTAAAGAAAGAACAAGAGCGAGCAGAGATGATCGCCAATTGACTCCTGAACATGCCAGTCCAACAAGACAGATCACGCTTTAAAAGGAATTTTAAGCGAAATAGGCATTGAATAAAGATGAATAATTGCAAGCCTCTGTCAAGTAAAAATATATTCACCATCATTTAACATGCTAGGAAAGAGTTTCACAGCATTCAAAGAATCACGAAAATCAGCCTTTGACAAAATTGCCCTAGACAAGGATAAATCTATATCAATCCAAACACTTATAACACCATGTCTAAAAATCCTAGTATCCTACGAATCTCTGATTTTCCTTATTGATACAATAAAAGAAAACAGAAGAGGATGGCGACAGGTGTGCTTATCTTACAATGAGCATTCACCTAATGGTATCTCAGACGTGGGCATACTTCTTCACAAGTGGTAGGACCCTTCAACAGGCCCCCCGAACAAATTTAGAGAAAAGCTAATAGCCAACAAGAAGCAGAAGAAGCTTTCCGCTAGAAGTCCAGACTCAAGCGGCTAAAATATTGATTCGACGTATGGATTTACAAGCACATTTTAACATCATAAGCCACTTCTTTCAAGAGAAAAACAAGGCAACTGATACATGAAATTGGGCAAGTATCATGCATCAAAGGGAAAAAGCATGGCTAATAAATAAGAAGCATGTCCTGAAGATCATTGATGAAATCACACATCAGAAAATCACATGTACACAGTTATGTTACCAACTGTCTCTAGCCGGAGAAAACCAAGTAGAAAAGATATGAAGAGTGAATTTCAATTCAGACAAAGGAGCATGTGCAACAACCACATTGTCAGATCTCAAGTACATACATCAGGAAGTACAAGAATTAATACTACCTCCAGTCCTAATTATAAGACCTCCTTAGACCGGAGGTAGTAATAAACTAAATGAAACACAATTGAAACAAGCAAATTTTCTGAGAATTTCATCATGATAGAATATCTACAGTAAACAGTGGATTAAATTCAGAAAAATATCACATAACAACAATTTTTTTTAATCACATTTCCATGGCCCAAAGAGTCAAAGGAAGTGTAGGTGCACGTGGAAAAGGAACCTTAACATGTGTAAAAATCAGCAGAGAAAAGAAAAATGTAAAATGTAAAAGATACAGACCAAATATTGAAGATATTTAATGCTTTCAACATATATCCTTGTAAAGGATTTCAATAGATACCTCACAAATTAGAATGCTGGTGATAAAGAACCACGTAAGACTCCTACAAATTCTGGAATTGATGCATGTAGAAATAATAGATTAACTGTAATAGCACGACATGGTAGAGAGGTGGGAAGGAGTTAGTGACTTTTAGTTAGAACAATAGTTGTAAAGCTGTAAGTACCCTCGAGTACAGAGAGTAGTTGGGGGAAAGAGAATGAAAAATGAATGTGAAATGACACTTGTATTCCTACTTAAAAAAGGAATAGAAATGCTGAGTAATAATGAAAGTGACATAACAGATATTGCTCAAAAATAAAACTTCTCGTTCTCCATGCTTGCCAGTTTCCTCTCCAATGAGGTTATGCCGACTTTATAAATAAGGAGGTACTAGGAGAGCTGATAAATGAACCTTTGTGAAGCCTCTGCAAAATGGTGATCTGGGACACAAGAAAGCATATACACATGAATACAAAAGTAGTCGCATACAAGACATACAAATGCAGCACAACTAGAAGTGGGTTCAAAGTCAATGAAACCAATGTGCATCAGCAGATTTGGCAACCAAACTTCAAGTTTCCTGTAGAGTATTCTACATGCGTTTTTTATCTTCTTGCTTTTACCAATACAAGTCTACATCTCATTATCTATCTATTGTTCTATTCGTAGTCTATTAAACTGCTAAGTTTCATACTGCAGCACAGGAAATGAACCATGCTATCATTTAACAAAAAATGAATAAACATACTGATGCTAAGAATACAAGTAGTTGCAGGGGAAAGATAAACTTGTTTTCCCCTATCCCAAGTTCCTCAACAGAAAAATCTCAAAAGAAAATAATTTGAAGCAGCTTGCATGAAATCAGAAACCAAGTTTCACCTTCTATTTCCTTACAAAAGCTAAATACATGTTTTTGTATTACAATATGGGTTTCCAAGTATGGTTCCACACCCCTACAGTCAGATGGCTGGAGAGTGGGATTGGAGGGAAAGATGCCATCTATTTTGTTCTCTTAACATCAGGTAAACCTCGTCATATTAAACTTTAAAACTAAAACCAGGGTGACCCATCAATCAAAAATTATATATATCTCAATATATAGGACCTTGCACATTTCAAACACAGCATTGTCGTGCTCAAAACCTTTGCCTTTATGAAAAAACAGCAAAAACCCTCTGCAGCCCTAAGCTATTTTATCCAATAACATTCTGTGAGTAAGCAGAGTGCAACAGCATACCAGCTCTCTAAAACAGCTATGTTCTCCATTTTCTCTGTTTCTTATTCATTTCCCTCTCATCTCTTTTATTTACCTTCTTATCTGCTCTTCTCAGGTTTCAATGATTCCCATCTAATACAATTCTGCTTCATTTTTCTCAGTCAGTTAGTCAGAAGCACCACCCAGTTTATATTCAGACAAGAATGCGTTGAATGCTTAAGGCTGAGGAAGATAAGGGAATTTGTGAGTTCAGTTTCTGCTCATCTAGTAAGATGATAAGAAATCAGCATTTTAGATGAACCTGGTGGTGATGAGTTGTTTAAGTCATCCATATAGGTAATTGTTGGTTCTTCATGCACTTGAACTTTATATTATAGTATAATTATATATGCATGATAGACATTCAACGTTGCAACATGCACACCAGGTGTCATGGCTCCAGAAACCCTATTCTGCAACAATGCACCTCACACATCATCAACAATGATATGAGAAAGTCGTAAATAGACTAAACAAAAAGTATGATATCAAATGAGTATAAAATTTATGCCAGGATAAGAATCATTGTCTTGGAAAAAATTTTTAACAGCAGATACGCAGCATTTAAAATTTGTCACTTTAATGCTTTGTCGGAATCTGGTTGCTTTTGAGATGTCATATCCCCATGTCAAACTTCTATAAAGGTCTTCAATGGTGATCCAGGAGGCAACAAACAATAGATATACAGATTTAAGAGGCTACGCATAAGACTAACATGTGCAGGGTATTGACACCCAAATTCAAAGTCAATCCAATAATTGTGCACAAGCATTGTTTACAATTAAGCCTCCCCACAGCAAAAAAGAGAAAACCCTAAAAGGAAAAAATGTATATTTTTGGCATGTCCCGATTATGTTTTTGTCGGCTTTTGTCTGTCACAGGGATGTCATACTTCCATAAAGGTCACAAATAGTTATTCAAGATGCGACAAACCATAGATATGCAGATATTAGAGGCTAAACACAAGGCAAACGCATGCAGGATATGCAGACCAGCCTGAAGAATAACATAGTATACAATTAAGACTCTCAAAACATCCCCCATAACTGAAAAGACATATCTTACACGTCATAAGAGAGTTTACTTTGATTGCACTCTTCTACTCTGTTTTCAACTAAAATTTACTCTACTATTTGGAGTAATCTGTTGAGCCACTGAAAGTTTAGTCTACAAACTTTTCATACTGTGACCTGAGGCTAAGAAAATAAATCATACACTATCCAAAAAAATAATGCGCATGAGCTCACTTATGCTAAAAAAAAATGCAATCAAAGAAGAATATTCTTGGTCCTTTTTTCAATTATGTTCCTTAATTATCTTCAAGCATTCATGGATGAAATAAGAATCAAATTTCAATTTCTACTTGTTTAACAGAAGTTAAATCAAACATTGATATATATTATCTCAGCTCTCTCTCTCTCTCTCTCTGTGTGTGACCTGATATCTATCAGTCCTCAGATTGTACCACATCTTAAAGAATTGGTATCGGTGATTCAAATGATTTTTGTGGAGTGAAGAATAGATTATACTAGTCCTTATCTTGTTTGTATCAACTTTAAGACATGGTTACTATCATATTACCAATTAGGGAGCTCTCGGATCAGATTTGGCCCAGGTAGACCCTTCATGTAGATATTAGTTATATCAATGTAAGAAATCATAAACATAATAAATGCAAACAAAGCAAGAAATCTAAAATGAGAATAGAATTGATCAGCTGAAAATAAAAACCATTAAGTTTACTAGCAAAGGAACAAAAGAAGACAGATTCTAACAAGAACTTAAGCCTCAACATACAACTTTTCTAAACCTTCGGGGTATTTGAGAAGCACCTATCTCCAGCAATGATGGATGGAATATACATGTTAAGAAGTTAATCTAGCCACAAACAAGCTACTCATTTCACCACTGTACCAACTGCTTTTTAAACCGAATGTTGTGCTCATGTCTATCAACCAATTGGTGCATGGCCATCATGCAAATTCAGGTTACCCAAAATCACCAACTGATCATAATGACAGAATGAGGCCCCTTGATACAATTTATCAGACTTGAAGAGAACCCTCATTCTCCTCCCTGCTAAGAGCTGAAACTTGAAGGCTTCCGTCATCCCCATCACCACATGTATTGCTTAATATTTTTCTGATCACCTGACAACTATCCATGCCAGTATTCACTGTGCTGTCAATCTCATCCGGACTCTCTACCTCTTCCTTATGTTTCATGAACATTATATCACAGAAAAAGTCTGTCAACACAGTCTCGTAGTCGGGCATCTTGGCATACCCAGGGAAGTAGTTAATGTCGACGATGAGATACCGATTCACATTTCTAGAGTCCCGAATCACATCGAAGTTAAAAAGGTTCAACTTCAATGCGTGCCTCAAACCCCGAGCTATCTCGGTAATGAAGTTCAGCGGAGGCATCGCTGTGTTGTCCAACCGCATCATCTTGTAATACCTATCATCTATCCTCTCATTAGTGGCCAAATTCGAAACCTGAGAGAAAGACAACAAGTCTCCTGAAACCGCCAACTTATCCTCTGAGACATCCGGCAAAGACTTCCTCTTGACGCATTTAACGTACTGTCCCACCACATACACTTTAAAAATGACTCCTCCATGGTTCACAAACTCCTGCAACACTATGGGTGGCTTCAGCTTGTTCAAGCTATCATGGTTATAAACAAGCGCCATTTTGTGAGACTTGGCGCTCCCGTCAGCCACCAAAGGCTTCGCAATCACCGGAAACTTCAACGTCTCCCACGCCTGCCGATCAAACAGCGTTTCACTGTCGTATATGACAATCTGCTTAGGAATCCCGAAGGTATCGGCCCCGTCCTCAATTGTCAACTCGGACACCACCTGCAGCATGGAAATCCGGTTATGGAGTCTCTCAATCGCCTCAGGCGAGTCGAGAATCAGCGCATTAGGGTACTCTCCCTTGAACTCGCGCAACTGCCTCTTCCAATTGTCGCCGTACAATTTGTGAAGAACACAATCGAAGGGACCCTGATCCAACAGCGAGCGCTCTGTATCGACCCGTACGAGGTCCACACCACGAGATTTAGCGAGGGCTACAAACGAGTCCTGAATAAAGCTATTCTGCTTCTTAGATGCGAGGGCATACCCCACGCGTAATCTCCTTTCCGCCATTGATCGAAGTGCTCACGAAGAAGACAGCAACAAAATCGGGTTTGACAAGAGAATGCAAATTAAGGAATGCGAAAACACTCGTTTGCGAGTGAACAAATCACATTCCCGAGAGAATCCGCGAGAGGCAACGGCTTTAATCCAGGTTCTTACCTCAGCCAGGAGCTCCTCGGATGAAGGGGAAATTTACAGGAGAAGTGACAGAGGAAGGGAGAGAGAGAGAAAGATAGATAGGACTAGGAGAAAGATAAAGAAAGAGAACAAGGGGATATATATACATACACAGCTTGGACTAGGGTTGTAGAGGGAGGGGATGATAAAGTGACAGATGGGGGTTGGGAGGAAAGGAGTGAAGGAGAGTACACGTGGCAGCTTGATGGGATGTGGGAGGCGGGAGAAACATGAGGGGGGGTGAGGGAGTGCTAAAACGACAGGGCGTCAGGGGGTTGGTAAGTGGGAAAAGGGAGCAGTCAAAGGGCGTGACAAAATATGAGGTCGTTTAGGTTGGAGTGAGGGGATAGTGTAATTTAATAATTTATTGCCAGGAATAGGAGGGATTGAGGTTTTTTTTTTTTTTAAATTTTTGACTCTGGTCCTTTGCACTTTTTCAGTAAAGCGTCGCCAGCCTTTTCACTTATCATACACGGATTTGAATATCCACACGCATATTTCCACATGATCCCAACAATTTTTGTTTTCTCATCATTTTATCATTTTTATCTGTTATCACTCGTAGCATGCAAGGACGAGGTGGGGCCGGGCTGAAGTCGGGCCCACCCTGAGTAGCGTACCCAATTAATATACCAAGCACCTCTCTTAAAAATTTTTGGATATAAAATTTTGAGTTTGAATTTTTGATAATAAAAAAATATATATAACACATATTTGGGTTATGGTAATTAATAAAATGATGGCAAAACTTGATGCAACTTAAGTGGGTGTTTGAATTATTCTTAAAAAAAATCACTTATGTTTTATGAGGCAAAGCTTTTTTTTTTATATATTTTGATGTGTTTGGATTAGTTATTCGGAATTAATTTCTTGATTTGGGTGAAAATATATATTATGAAAAGCCAATCCAAACTCTTTGTAAGTTTTGTGAATAAATAAAATCTTGTTTTTAAAGGAAAAAAATGTCTGATCTAACTTGATTCAATTTAAATTATTTAGTGTCTAGTTAAGGTAAATTATCAAAAATTGATTGGTATTATCCAAAAACGCAAAATGCAACCAAATGAATGGATGTGTTGTTTATAATTTATAAGTAATATGACTTCTCATAATTTTATATCACATTAATAATATAATGATATTGTCATAAATATATAATGTATATAATTAAATGTGATCATCTAATACTTTATATAACTCATCCAATTATTTATATTTTATAAATAGCACACATTATTATGAGTTTACTATTGTCCAAGATGGATGTACAGACATAATTATTCGTGGATCGAACGTATACAGTGAACGGGGGCGGTAGGAGGGAACCAAATTTTGAAAAAATAAAGTATGCAATAATTCATTTTTACTAGAGAAAATGACCATAATAATACGTTGAATTTCAAAACGATAAATAGGTGATGTTGACTATTCTTATAAAGGTATTAATTATTGATTATTCTTGTGTAGATTTTAACATGTTAAAATCACCATTAAATAGCTTTCTACGTGAATATAATGAATAATTTTCTATTCATATTGTCGGATAGTCTTATATCATTATCACGTAATGGCCCATCCATACGTTCATAAATGAAGTATTATGAAATGCGTCTAAGATAAAGACACGATAAATTAATTCTGAGAGAGGAAAAGGACATACAATTAAGCAAAATGATTGTTTCTCACTGCATCATCCCCTTCTGTGGAAAATATCTATGCCGTGTACATGGTGCATATAATGTGCTACAAACTTTCGACGCACCATATATACATACAATACAAAAAAACATGGTTTTAGCGACGGAATTTTGAATTTAGCGACGGAATTAGCGATGGATTAGCGACAGAACAGATTAGCGACGGAATTTTTTCCGTCACTAATTCCTCTGTCGCTAATTGATTAGCGACGAAAATTCAATTCCGTCGCTAATTAGATTTTTTAAAAAATAAAATAAAATACCACGTGGCACCTCTACCAATTGCCACGTCGCTAATTTGTGACGGAACAAATTCCGTCGCAATTCCGTCGCTAATTTGTTATGGAATTTGTTTCCGTCGCTAATTCGCTGTTTTTTTATAGTGATATATACATTCATTTAACTAATACATATGGTATAGATAATATTTAGCACAAGTATATATGATACTGGGGTATTCGTATAATAAAATGTATAATAAATTGTAATATTTATAAGTTACAAATAGTATGATTAATTAGCCAATTCAATGTAATGCATGGGAAATGCATGAACTCTTTGACTATGAGATGTATAAGTATTTGTTATATTTTGTGATAAATTTAGACTTTTTATATATCCATGTGCCATCTCATCCTATCCCATCATGCATATATAAATTCTTGTTGTATTTTAATTTGGTTATTCATATATACTCTTCTTGTCCTGTTTATAAGATATATATATATATATGTGGAGGAGTATTTTTTTTATCATTAATACAAGTCACTTTATTAAATTTATTATGTAAGTACACAATTTTGCTTATAATTTATTATATTGTAAACTATTTTTTATTTGAAAAGCGTGTGTGTATGAACAAAGTTATAAAATTACTCCTCCGGTCCTTAATATAGGACCCTTTGACTATTTTGATTAAATTAAGGATGGTAGTTAAGTTAGGTAATAAATATAGATATCCCAAAATACCCTCGGTTTACACTTCTAAAAAGAAACTGACATTTGAAAAAAATTCAAGTCTGGTTAACTCGCCTCCTCCCGTACCAACGTCGTCCAAATTCTCCTGGCTCACGCACCGTCCAATCATAATATCATATAGGATGTGATAGTTTCTTGTGAACTTTGGACCGATTCTCCATATTAAGAAACTTCTGCCTAAGTATCCAAACGTACTATGAATTAATCTGAAAGTTCGAAAACTTTAATTTAAAAACCAATTTTTTTTTAAAAAAAAAGAGTAATTGAAGTACGAGATCTTATAAATTTCTATCGCTATTTGTTAATGGCAATGTTCCCCCCTTGTCCGTAACAATTTTCAAAAGGTGTGAAAATACTTCTCATCCACAAACCTGATCAGAACTGGTTGATTAATTTAAATAAATTTAAAAAATTTGTTAAGTTAGTTATTTATAATAAAGAGGTGTTATCTTTCCTAAAATACTATTGCTAGTAATATGTATTAGCTAGAACTATTATTTAACAGAATTTTTAACACGTGCAACTACTACAATGACTATTTTGTAAAAAAATACTATCCCCGATCTTTAATATAAGAGCTAGTTGACTAATTTGAGTAGATTAAGAAAATTAGCTAAATTAGTTATTTGTAATAAATAGATGTTATTTTTCTGAAAATATCATTACTAATCATGTGCATTAGCGAGAACTACCATTATTAATGAATAATGAGTATTATTGTGGTATTTAATTATCTAATAGGGGTAATTTAGGAAAGAATGAAAAAATATGAGAAAGGGGTCCTATATTTAGGACCAAGATCAACCTTCTAATTGGGTCCTATATTAAGGACCGGAGGAGTATTAAATTTTAAGATAGAATTTATGAAATTTAAGATTTTTTTTAATTTTGATAAAACATACTACTTTTAGTCTTTAATACAAGATCTAAATAAATAGTTTGCTAATATTAAAGAAATTAATTAAGTTAGTTATTCATAATAAATGAGTGTATATATGTAATAAAATAAATTAGAGTATTATATTCTAAAATAATTAAATTATCAACTAACTTTTATATTTAGTCATGAATGCGGTATCAGAAGTGCAACCACTGGGCAGTATATGATGACATGGAAACAACATAATGAATGACCACAGATTTGTCTTGGACACGCCGTTTTTCTGTTGTACACTCAACGTACAGTTAGGCATTTATTATAAGTAAGACAGTTATAAACAGGGAGGTGGGAGGCAAGCGAAAAAAAGGGCGTTTGTTTCGCAAAGGTTGAAACTTGAAAGAATCAGATAAGAGTTATACATGGAGTTAGGCTAGAGAAGAAATCGGCGGAAGGGAAAAAGAGAACCAAAAAAACAAAAAACAAAAAATAAAAAGAAGAGGACGTTTGAGGATGATGAAGGGACAAATAATACTAAAAGTAGGTGGCGTCTGTCCTGCGTGCTTTAGCAGAGATCCTACGTTAGCATATGCGAATATATATACTCTTTCGATGTTTAATATTAGACCCATTTAACTAATTTGATTAGATTAAGAAAGTTAGGTAAGTTAGTTAATTATAAGAAATGTGACATGTTTTTCCTAAAATACCATAATCATCTTTTTAATATCTCATCTTTCTTTCTACTTGATTATGGTTGAGGAAGTATCCATAGGGGTAATTTAGAGAAAATTGATAAATATGAGAAATAGGTCTTATATTTAAGACCACAACTAACTCAACAATTAGGTCCTATATTAAGAACCGGAGGCGTATATATACACACACGCACGCGGAGCATACGGTTGAGACGAAAGCGCTAGCATACCCTACCTGGATGTCAACTTGCTTTTTCTGTGTGTGTGTACGTATCTTCTCGTGCTCATACTCATCCCTCTCTCCTGCAACATGTTTGTATTCTCACCAAGTTTCAACATCTATCGCTCTTCTCTTCTCAGCTGGCCTCCATTAAAGTCACGATCACTTGGACCATTCTCGGTCTTTCCGCCTTTATTTAATCCATATCGTTCGTTCGTTCCATAAGTCTTTGATGTAAAAACTTTTCATGCATATAAACTTGTAGGGTTTGAGATAAGTTTCATTGTTCATGGAATATTCACACTACATATTCTTAATGGGGTTTATGCATATGATAAGTTTGTATATGAGAGTAAAGCTCAAATCTTGAGAGAAAGAGCAGTCCTTTTTGAGATTTACAGTAAGTAAAATTCATTGGAAGCTAAACATGCGTGGATTTCTCTAGACTAAAAAATTCATTTATGGTGAATATCTTGATATTTACAACTTTCTTGGATTAAGCATTATGTTCACAAGTAGCCCTTTTTGAAATTTATATTGACGTGTACAGTTGTCATCTATCAAACTAAAAAGAA